GGACGGACGGACGATATAATCTATTGTAGGTTGGTTCACTTCGTTCCTACCAGTAAAATCCTATTTTCAATCTAACACGCACGCACACCTTCTTTCCAGCTTCACGCAGGCTCTAAAGACCAAGTTCCCCCGCATAGCCTTAACAGACTGTTGGGGCAAGTGCTGTTAATGAGCACCTAATGACGGCCGACACGGCACACGAGGAGGTGGGTGGCCAGCACCACACCCAAGCCGCATTTGTCTTCCGAGGTGGCAATGTTTACACATTTAACCAGATACTCGTTTGAAGCCGAGTAGACCTAGGCGGAGGCCCAGGACCGGTTCAGATCTTTGTCGATGATGTTGGCCGTGAGCGACTGTCGGCGCAGTACGCTAAACATTGTGCCACCCTCTCTCTCACACACACACCATCATAATGGCACCGATGCTGTTGCATATGCATTAAATATTTGTCCCCTCTCGTTAAATATATTAATCTCGCACTACGCCAGTGCGATTTCACTATGTCAGCACAATCGATCATCGTCACCATCGTGTTACGCACGCTCCTAATTCAAACATCGTTCGCTCGCTCGTGCGCACACACCCACAGGGCAATTGATGCTGTTACACATGTATCACCTGTATACACTCGTTGAACATACTTTGCTATTGTATTATCGTAATCGGCCAAGTTCTATCCACTTCTAGATGATCGCCCAGCATCATAACCCCCCCCCCCCCCCCCCAGGTTACTTCGTTAACAACTCAAATCTCACTTCTCCACAAAGGTGGTACCTGTCATTCCATCACCAGACTTATCCTTCTGTTATTATCTTCCCAGCACACTCATTTGTATTGATATACCATCTCTAATTCACGTGTCCCCGCCGCCTGTCTCACTTAGTTTAAATTCCACTTTATGCTGGACTTCTTTTGCACCGTACGTAGCTAACCGTGCTTATCGGTGGTGCCAGATCCCTTCTTTCCGATTCGTATATCACGCCAGGTAATATGCACAGAGTGAAAAGTTTCTTCCAAATGTACTACTTTTTTTTTAGATCCTTGCCTGCCTTTCAATAATTATTAGCTAAGATATGCATCCTGTTTTTTCAGGTGTCTTTCCAACAATTAACTTTTTGTTTTGAACTTTTTGTATTACTTTTAAGTTGCTCGTACCATATTTACATTTTGCCCTACTTTGCAGCCTTCTTTGCTTCCAAACATTCCCTGCAGTTACTTTTTGTTTGTAATGAGAACTTTAGATGGTTAATACTTTAAGCATTTTATATTAATGCGTTTGTTTTTCCTCCTCCAAACCTAGTCTTTAGAAAACATCTTCTTGCGTCACAGTGGTGAGTGTATTTTCTAAAAATGTTAACCTACAAACCATTTTCTTGGTTCTTTCGGTAAAGTCACGTAGAAGGGAAGTAATAAAATAATAAAAATAAAACATAATAAAATCATTCTCACGACGTTTCTTCACCTGAGGACGGCTGCTTGTGTTGTGGCCGAAACGTCGTGAGAATTATTTTATTGTTTTATTTTTATTATTTTATTACTTCCCTTCTACGTGACTTTACCGAAAGAACCAAGAAGATGAATCCCTGCAGTCACGAAAGCTTAAAATCTACAAACCATTGCCAAATAGTGTCACCAATTCTTTATTTCAACAACTCTACACATACTACCATTCATTCCCTCAATTCATGCATTTGTGCATTCATTCATGCATCCATCCATTCGTGCATTTATTCATTACGTTCATCCATTAATGCATAACTTTATCCATTCGTGTTTTTTTTTACTGATACACATGGAGAGAGGCGGATACTGCAAGCACAGATACACATGGAGATTGGGGCACGGAAACGTGCAAGCACTCGCTTCTCTTCAAAGATCAACTCTCCACGGAAATGCGACTCTACTGATCCACGAAAGTCGTGGGTTAGCGGAGTCTGGCCCTAAAGGCGTCCTCATATCTGCAGGTAATGAACTTGCCCCTTTCCCAGCATGCCACCGTGCGTCATTAGTCCCTAATTATCCACGTTTGTTTATGGATAAGCCGAGTTGGGTGGCAAATTCATCCTCTTATCTGCGGCTATCCATGATTGTTTAAATATTTTACTCTGCGGCTAAGAGGAGTAAAATCCATACCTGTCTACTCATATGGCGTACAACTGTTTCAATACGGGCAAAAAAAATGTGTTTTGTTTCTCCCTTGTGATGGGACTTTTTAGAATGAGCGTTGAGATTTTTAAGGGCACGGGGTGACCAATAAAGTCTGAATTGGTCTGTAATAAGCTAGGGCTCTGGTATAACAATCGCGGATGACCCCATTTATCGCTGCAGATAAGAGTTATGTACAGTGGTTTTGATTGACACTTTTCCAGTAAATTTACTGGAATATAACCATCATGATGCCACACTCGCCACCTTCACACCACTCTTACTGCGGACAGGGCTATTAAATGTTCCCCTCAAAATCCATCTTGTGTAACTCTCGTATCACCGTTCTTACTTTTCCAGTTCTGTGATTTTGTAAATCACTATACATGCACATTCCTATTTGCGACATCCACTCGCACAACCACTACTATGCCACTTTGTGCTGCCACACATTGTAAATTGATCTTACTATTTAATGTTAAACTCATCGTGTCACACGCGCATTTCCAATCCCAACAACTTTGTGCCATAGTGGTGAGATGTTAACTCCCTTGGCTGGTATTCAGAAGGTTGTAGTTTTGATCCCGACCCTGACGCCTGTATGTTTGGAGTTTTCATGTCTCTCTCCCCGTGGTTGTGTGGCTTTTTCTCCGGGTCCTCCCGGTTTTTCCCTCCACGTATAAAAACATGCGTTCGGCTATTTGGCTGCTGTGCATTTCCACACGATAAGCCACTTCTGTTGAGCGATCATTTGTGGCCAGGTAGCTTCTGAAAAAGAGCTAATATACCTCGATGGGCCTTACCTGGTAAAATAAAACGTTCTTAGTTAAGTTTTAACATCAGTATGGTACAATATAACACCACTCTTACTACACGGGTATCAAATATGTTCGCTTCAAATTCAATCCTCGCATCTTCTGCTCGACTCACCACCAACACCATCTTGATCATTTCACGGATGCATTCCTCATCCGGACATCGCCCTCCCACACAGACCACCACCGCGAATGTAACTTGTGGTGCCACCTACACATTGCATCCCATGACTGTACTTTTACATGTTATTGTAATAATACTTTAACAGTGCTGCAATGTCATTTTACAAGCAGCGCGCACTCATGATGTCAACCACTCATTACGAATCCCAACAGCACCAACACCACCATCACTGTGCTGTCTCACACGCGCACACACACACACGTACGCATTACATTCCATTGCTATTAAACCACCACGGTCCCACTTTAACAGTAATATTACTTTTTTTAAAGTCGTGTAATATCGTGGACATCACTAATTATAATGTAACGCGCAAGCAGTCTTAATCTCAACAAAAATCCACGACCACCAACAAAACTTGTACTGTGCCACACACTGCATTCCATTACAATTTATACCACCGAAGTTTTACTTTTTCTCCTGATGACGAATGCTTGTTGCGATCGAAACGTCGTGATATTTTTATTATTTTTTATTCAATATATTCTAATTTTTATTATTTTATTGTTCTATCTACGTGACTTTACCGAAAGACCCAAAGAATATGAATTCCTGCAGTCACGAAAGTTTTAAGTCAAGGTTTTAACAGTCCTACTGCTTACTATTTACAGTGCTGTAATATCATCAAAAGCATCGCAGTGATGATGTAACACGCAGTTCTAATCCTAACAACATAACTCAACTACCACACACGCGTTACGTTCCATCGTCAATTAACCACCACTTTTACTTTTAACAAGCTACTTTCGTGCTGATATTGCCATGGCCATTACGATGTTAAAACGCACGCCGTCCTAATCGCAACATTAAGGACACACTCGGACCGGACCACCATCACCCCCATCACCACCACAATGCCACTGAACTCTGCTGCCACACGACATCTCTCCCATCACGTGAATTACACCCATCACCACCACCACCACAATGCCACCTGAACTCTGCTGCCACACGACATCTCTCCCCACGCGTGTATTACACCACCATCACCACCAACACCACAATGCCACTGAAACTCTGCTGCCACACGACATCTCTCCCAACGCGTGAATTACACCACCACCACACCAACACCACAATGCCACCTGAACTCTGCTGCCACACATATCTCCCATCACGTGAATTACACCACCATCACCACCACACCACCACCAACACCACAATGCCACCTGAACTTTGCTGCCACACATCTCTCCCATCACGTGAATTACACCACCATCACCACCATCACAACCACAATGCCACAGCACCACAATGCCACTGAACTCTGCTGCCACACGACATCTCTCCCATCACGTGCATCACCACCACCACCACCACCCCCATCACCACAATGCCACTGAACTCTGCTGCCACACGACATCTCTCCCATCACATGAATTACACCACCAACACCACACCACCACCACAATGCCACTGAACTCTGCTGCCACACGACATCTCTCCCATCACATGAATTACACCACCAACACCACACCACCACCACAATGCCACTGAACTCTGCTGCCACACGACATCTCTCCCCACGCGTGAATTACACCACCACACCACCATCACCACCATCACCATCACACCACCACACCACCACCACACCACAATGCCACAACACCACCATGCCACTGAACTCTGCTGCCACACGACATCTCTCCCCACGCGTGTATTCCCCCACCGCGTCACGCATTGACGTCACACTCGGAAGCCTGAACCCCTTCCTCGGCAGCAAGAGGCAGCGGCAGCAGCAGCAGCGGCGGGCGGGCGGGAGGGAGAGAAGAAGGCAGGAGGAGGAGAAGGAGGCGGTCTCGGTGTCGGCCCAACCCCCCCCCACCACCACCACCACACACACACACCGCCCGCCCGCTCCTCCCCACCAAGGCTCTGCCTCACAACCCTCCTGCCCCTACCCGCCACTCACACCGCGGCCATGGCGGCAGCCGAACATCGGCTGCCCAGTCCGGACGCCTTCTTGGGCCAGCCCTGGTCGAGCTGGATCGATGCCGCCAAGCTTCCGTCCACCGAGAGTGAGCGACGGCTGGTGGTTGTTGGTGGGCTTGGTGGTGGTGGTGTTGGTGGTTTTGGTTTCGTTGTGTTGGTTGTGGTGGTGGTGGTTGTTGATGTTGACGATGATGTTTGTGGGTCCCGTCGCCGCTTCTTTCACGGCAGCTCTCTTTGCCCGCCTCCTCCTCCTCCTCCCCCATTCGCGGCCTAGGAAAAGCGGCACCAGCTGCGTGCCGGGCCCTCCTCCTCCTCCTAGCATCATCACCAGCAGCAGCAGCAGCGGCGTACAACATCGACCAAACCATCAACACATCATCACCGCCATCACCACCACCACCACCACCATCATCATCGTCATCTTTTTGAGGATGTTTCTCTCTGGGCCCCCTCCGAAATGTTGTTTGGTTTTTTTCGTGGGCCCCTTCAACGCTGCTGCTGTTGCTGAATGCGACGTTTATGTAATTTCCTTGTTATTTTTTTGCGCGCGTTTGTCTGTGTCCGTGTGTGTCCGTCCACTAGCCCCCGTGTCCCCCATGTGTGTGTGTGTGTCTCTCTCGTCTTGTTATCTGTTGTACATGTGCCCGTCGCTTCCTTAATGGGTACACGTTGGGTGGTGGTGGGTTTTTTTAATATACACAACCGTCGCTGTTGGTATCGGTGGCATCATCCCGATGTAAGAGGTGGTGTTTTTGAAAAAGCTGGGTTTTGGATGTCTGTCTGTCTAACCACACCACCACCATGTCCCTGTGCACATGAAGGCGTTTTGCTCTGCTCCCATGCATGCATGCGTTTGTGTTTGTGTGTCTCTCTCCTCCTGATGTGTGCGTGTTGTTGAACATGTGTGCCCGTCCTGCCTTATTACATATTTTATTTTGTACCATGTCTATCTCTTCCATGCCCCATGCTGCCTTGCGTGTACTGTGTGTGTCTACTGTGTATGTGTGTCTACTATGTGTGTGTGTGTAATCTTGTCTGTTCTCTGCATCTTGACGCTGTCTTCTTTCTTACGGTCCTCATCCCCTATCCCGTGCAGCTTTTGGTTGTCATCTTGTGTGTGTCGTTATTTTGGACATTGTTACTTGCGATGGGCTGTCTGTCCTATGCACATTTAAACATGTCTCCCTCCCAAAGCTCTGATTGTCAATTCAAGTACAAAAATACAGTGTGTGTGTGTGTGCATCTTTCCATAGTGTATTTTTAGTAAAAAAAATATGGGTTTTATTGTCTGGTCCCATTATATTTTTTGCAACTTGGGCCTATCCTTGAGTGTTCATGTTCTTGTGTACAGTGTGTATCATCTGTGTGGTATTGATTACGTTCATGGTAACGTGTCTTGCCTTTTTTTACCAAATGTAGCTGTTGTGGTGTGTGATGTCCTCATCTCTCCATGCATTTTTCTTTTCCTATCCCGCGTACATCATCGTGTTCCATCGGTGTGCATGTTTGTGTGTCTTTGTCCTAATGCACATGTAGTCTTCCTCTTCCTTGTAACTCTGCTTGTAATTTGCGTGTGACTGTTAACGTCTCCTGTTTTTAAACATGAACTTGGCCTATCATTCCTTTACATTCTCTCGCGTGCAGCGCACTGTATTTGTTTGCTCTACGAACATTTTGGCGTGTCTCTCGTCTTGTCCCGCGCAGCCTTGCTTACCATGTTGTGTCTTGTTGTTGCCTATGTCTTTGTGTGTCTATGTTAAACATTATCCATCTCTCTTACTGTCCAAGGCGGCATGGCCCATCACTAATGTGCATGTTCTTGTGTACAGTGTGTGTGTTAACGAACATTTTTGCATGGCCCTGTCATTGTCCCATGCAGGGTTTAGATGGTCATTAACATGGATATTATTGTGTAATGTTGGCCCGTGTGTGTATCTTGCACGTGTGTGTACATTATGTTTAAATGTTTGACATTATGGACCTGCCCTTTGTATAGTATTCACGTTATTAAGTACAGTGTATATGCGAGGTCTACACACACTTTAGCATGTCTTTCTTCCTGTACATTGTGCTTTGGCCTGTCATTTGCGTGAACACTCCTGGTGTATGAACTCTAACGCTGTTTTTTTGTGTGTCTGCTACCATGTGTTCATATAAAAATGTGTCTCGCCTCATCCCTCCCATCAGTTGATACCTGCTGCACGTTCTGGGTGCATGTATTTCACAACGGTATGTGTAATATAATTTGAACACTCCTCTGTGGCAGATATTGTTCAAATGGTAGGGGTGCTCCAGTATTAAAGTTTTTTAGGTGCATGAGAATGTGCATATGCAAACATGACTATTCGAGATGTGTAATTCATGAAATGTGTGTGTGCACTATTCGTCTTGCTTGCAGGGTTACTGTCGAGCGACAGCGTCAAGGATACGGGGAAAAATCGTGAAGTGATGAGACTCAACAGAGACGGTGCGGATCTGTTATTATACCATTGTGTTATATTGATGGTGTGTTGCAAGTTGTCCGCTTTGGTGCGTTTTCATTTTTATGCAAAGTCAAGCGTTGGTCGCCGAGGCCAAAAGCAGGTCCTACGTGACCACAACATTTTGTATTCCTATTTGGGTAGCTAAATTGTGTAAATTTTACCCCCAGCATTTGAGATTGACGATTATGCATTCTCCCCTAGATACATTATCCCATTATCTGCCTCCAATTCAGAGTAGACTGCTGTGCTGACTCGCTCGCCTGTTGATTGCTCAACTTGTAAAGATGGACTGCTTCTGACACCGCTGATGTGAAGCGTTGACTATATCACTGCTCCTAATGAAGCTCCATTGTGCAATGCCAATCCATTTTTAATGTTTTCCAGAGGGTGATGAACCCAGTAACTCCAGACATGCACCTATGCTGCTTAGCATACTTCTAAGCTTCTGTTCAATTTTATTTTTCAATGTCCATATATTTTGGCAGCTGAGGTACACCGCTTAACTTTCTTCCGTAGGCACAGCGAAATGTTTATTTTCATTATTAAGTAAAGTTTTCCAAAGCCTTTCAAACCTGCTCTCTGCCACATTTTTTGTCATTTTGATCCTGTTCTACGATGCGCAGATATGATGGCATCATGATTGACCGTTCAGGAAAGTTGAGGAGGCTTGTGCATGACGCGTTGCCAGAAGAGATAATGGTCAAGACTAACGATGTAGTGGCAACCAAAGTAGGGAACGTTCCCCAAAAGGACAACCTCTGCTGAGGTGAAGAAATGAACTTTGTAGACTCTCGTAGATTCTTGCATCGTGAGATGATGATGATGGCTTGGCGAGGTCTTGATCCAGCAGTAGATGCATCAATGGGTGATGACCATATGAAATTATTTGTAATGGAGTGAAGTTACAGCAAAGGGTTTTTCCTAACGCTTTGCAAGAAATGTTTGCAGCATCTCGAGCCATACCTTGTGCTTTTATGCGTGTGTGCGATGGCTGCTCTTGCTGTGAGGCGAGACGGTGCTGATTTAACCATTGTTGCTTCTGTCCGTGCAGATATGCATATATTTGGTTGCTGCCCGGCGCAAGACGAGTTCTATTTGGTGATGTGCAATCAATGCAAGCAGAATATCAAACCACAAGCCTTCCAGTCCCACTGCGGTACGTAGCATCGTCGGTTGTTTGAACACCACCACAGCCTGTGCTTCTTGACTGCTGGCCTGCAGTAACATCTGGTAATCGAGCAGTATATATTTTTTATCAAGCCTGACTGCTGATGAGACTTTGAAGGGTGAAACTGGTCCAGCATTTGCTTGCTTAGGCAATGCTAATTGATAATATTAGTGTGAAACGTTAACAGGCTGAACTACAGAATAATTTGTTTTATTTGTATATGGAGAGATGATTGAGTTCTGCTTTATATTTACAGGAAGCGGAGTTTAATAATTTAGCAGTTTTTGTATACAATCCTATTCATAGGGGGCAAGAACAATCCTTAAGTATTACATGTTTTAAGGTAATTTAAACTCTTTAGTGATCGTGGTGAGTGGAGTCATTTTCTTCACATTGAAAGACCAAAATGTAATGTCTTGCTCTAGTATTGCTTATTGCATCCTTTATTTAAGTTTTGCAAGATCCCAATTTTGTGACCTGAAAGTCTCCAAAGAAGATCGGTCGTGAAAATGTTAGTATTTAAATGGCATAAACGGTCAACTATGTAAAGTGAAACAAAATACCCCTTTATCAATTCAATGCCTCCCCATGCCACTCATGGTAGGTTGTTTGACCATACTTCACCCAAGCTGGTAATCGCGGCTTGGTAAAGGGGAAGGTCCCAGGACCTATTAAAATATTGTTTCAGCTGATGTTGGCCATGCCTGAGAAATCAAATTCAGGTTGCCAGGTTCTTGGCGCGGTGCATTAACCAAAGTGCCACTGCCTCCACCCCTAGAAAGCAGCAATATATTTGGCAATTGGAAACAATCTTCTCAACTGCCGCATGTGGTGTTTTACAGAGAGGAGACATGGTCTACCCAGGAGATCTTCCACGTCGCCCTCTGCACAGTCTCACCTTCAGACTCTGCCAAAGAAACACAAATCGAGTGGCGGCGGAAGCAACAGTAGCAGCAGTCAGAGGGGGGCGGATGGAAGTGTACGGCATCCCAAACCACACAGGGATAAACCCGGAGACAGGTCTTCAGCCAACACGTCCTCCTCACAGGAAAGAACGGTCGGAAAATGGTAGGCACACTTGAGGCTGGTCATGTTCCCCATCTTCGAGTTCACGCTGAACTCTGATTTTGCAGCGCGCACTCTCGTAATTGCGTGCAAAAGGCAGCTTTTGCTGGTCTTGCCATGTGCGAAGTGATTTAAATAAATGCATTGATGCAAATGTGTTTTTCGGATTAAAAATGATAGATGTGGGCAGTTCAAAGAGAATTTGCTAATTTTTAATTAAACAAGATTTTGTGTACAGCTGTCAGTAGAAAAAATGTCCACTTTGTGATTGTTTTTTTTTTCAAGCGTGCAAGCGTCCAGTCAAGAGCGGCTGACCAATCACACCAAGACGGAGAAGGGCCTGGGCCGATCGAACTCGATGTTCACCGCTTCGTCCATGTCCACGTGTGGGAAGTCGGCGCCCTCGACCTCTCCGCAGAGGGCACCGTCGCCGACGGCGTCGGGACACAACCCCGCCTCACCGACCTCCAAAGCTCACTTATCTTCCGCGTGCTCGCGACACGGGCTGCACTCCGCCGGCCTGTCCCACCCATCGCCGCAGCATAGGGCCGGCCTTGCCAACTCTTCCCCTCACCGCTCGTGCCAGTCGTCGTCGGGGCAGCACAGGTTGCACGGCGCGCACCCGCAGGTGTCGCCGCAGAAACTCTCTCACTGCTCCCCGCAGCACAAGCCGAATTCGCAGGGCCCAACATCGTCGGCCCAGCACAAAGCCCAGAGGCCCCTGCACCCATCCCCGCAGCAGCAACAGCAACAACAGCAGCAGCACAAAGCTGGCTTCAGCTCGGGCTTGTCGCAATCCCAGCACAAGAGTGATAAGAGCAGCGCGGCGGCGGCGGCAGCAGCGACGACAACAAGCTTGCAGCAGAAGCAGCCGCAGTCGTCCCCGCAGCACAAGGCGAGTGGCCACTCCGGTGCCGGCGCTCCCACGGGGAACGCTGCATCGCAGCCGAAGTCGTCGTCTGGCGGCTCCGGCTCTGCATCAACAGGACTGCTCAATTCGTCGCCGCAGCGGCCGCAGCACAAACCCGGGTTGCCGAAGTCGCAAGTGCCGACCCACTCTTCTCCACAGAAACTCCCTCATCCATCTCCGCAGCACAGCAAGCCCGTCCCGGGACTGTCGGCCTCCACTCGGCAGCCGGCTCAAGCAAAGGGCTCTGCCTCCTCCTCCGCCGCTGCTTCGCAAGCGCAAGCCGCGTCGAGTTGCGCGGCGGGACAGCAACAGGCGTCCCCGCACGACCGGCACGTACCCCCCTCGCCGGGTCACCCGCACAGGCCGAGTTCTGCCTCGCTGACCACTGCTCAGGAGTCTACGAACTCTCTGGCAGCACACAAAGCGGACGGGATTCCGGCGGCCCAGGGTCACTCGCACGCGCCCGGTTCCACGGCAACGTCGGCCACGCCGGCGGCCCGCTCGCCAGAGCACAAGCCACCCTCCGGCAGCAAGAGCGGCGCCCTGGAGCCGAGCCAGAAGGCGAATGGAACGAAGAAGATCTCCACGTACAAGCGGCTGCAAGGTGAGGCCCTACCCCCCCCCCCCCCCCCCTAGCCACCTTTTTATTTTAGGTGCTGACTTTTGGACTTTGTCAAAATACATTATGGGATGGTCTAGATTTTTTATTTAATACTTAAATCAGGTGTGGAGCAAAGTACTGTTAAATAAGTAGACTTTTTTTTATATATATAGTTATTTTGCTGCTTTATTCAAGAATTCTGACCGTGCATTTGCTATTTTTTTCTTTTTTGCACATCAAAAGTTGCATTTTTAAAATATTTATATGGTATAGATATAATTGCTGTCATTGACTTATTGCTACAACAAAAATACAAAATAAATGTGTAAACGATTGCTATTTATGCATGCTTGTTTCTGTTTTGTATATAATGCATAGCTTGACTCTATACTTCTGTTGCATTTTGAGAAGTTTATTTTTTGTTTATTTAACAGATCGGGACTTTGATCCAAACAGCCATTGTGGAGTGTGGGATCCCCAGTCGGAGAGACAATGCACACGCTCCCTGACCTGCAAGGTAGGCGGCTGCATCCCAAGTCAAACATTCCCCTCCGCGTAGCCGATTTTTAGTGCACCTAAAAGGTGCTTTCACTGGTAGATCGTCGACCTCCAGCTTTGAACACAAGGCCGTGTGAAAGTGTCGTGGGCCGTAGGTGTCCCCCCCCCCGCCCACCAGCTCCTCGTCCAGCTTAACGGTTTTGCAAAAATAAAATTTATGTAGCTGATCTTAGAACAGGTGTTCCAGTCGATTTTTGCCTGTTATTTGTCTCTTCTCCACTTGGTGGTGGTGGTGATGTTTAGTCATGGTTGGCCAAATAGTGAAATTGTTTATGAAATCCTTGCTCCTGGCTTTTATTACTTCTCGGATTTATTGCTGCCGCATCACATCTCTGTGACTCGGACAGCTTAGCTCACGAACTTCAGCCTTGACTTCCCACTCTCGCTTACAAAAGGGATTCTATTACCATCGCATCAAGTCCTTCCACTGGCTTCATAAGCATCTGCACATCAAACTACATTTTCACCTCGTATTATCTTTAAAAAAATCCTTCGTGACCCTGCTCGTTGCTCTGGTCAACGTCTTGAGATGCAGTTGCCTTTTGAGATGCCATTTATAAATCCTGTCAGGTGGTAGGACAACCAATAGATTCTTATATTAATCCTCTTTTCAGTGTTATTCTCTCGTGTTTTGGTGCATTTGCTCCTGATTCCAGTTGTTTGCGCATGAAGCCAAACACTCATTAATGGAACGGGCCAAACGTGTCCATGCAGGGACCCTCCTGAATCGATCGTGAGACTCGGTGAGGCATTCCTGGGTAAAATAAAAGGGTGTTATTATTTATTACTGGGATAAAGGAGGCTCGGACTCCGATCGTGAGCAGCAAGACGACTCAATTTTTACGCAATCAAATGCAAAAACCATTACACCTGCCTTAAACGTAACAGTTATTGGAGCATATGTTCTTACAGGAGTTGCCGCAACACCATCTGGGACCTCATTAAACCTAAATCTGTTTATAAAAGCCTCGGACCAAATCGCCAATAAATGCACCTTGCCTGGTCAAATTTCCTGAAGCCAAGTGAGCTTGGTTAGTACTTAATTTGGGAGACTAACCACTGAGCCAAAGTTCCCCTTCTGCCCTTACTACAACTAATTTGTATAAATAACCACAGTCACTTAGGCAATTTAATGCCTTTAATTGTAAGCCCCAAAAATCTTTAAATAGCAATGCAAAGATTACACCCCTGTTATTTAACGTTATTCATTGTTTTTCTTATTGGGTAATGTAAAATCGTGCAATAAGTAATGTGACCCTGCATGACCACCAGCCGGCTTCCATTGTTCGACAACGTAAACTTTCCAACCCTCAAATACATTTCTGCTGATGCTGCAGTTGGGAATATTGCTCATTATCGAACCCTTACCTCCCTTTATAATGTCTGTTCTTCCTTCCCTATGGCTTGTTTTGCTTCTTATCTGTTGTACTATACATGGCCACGGCTGCCAAATGAGACTGGAACGCAACACCGGGTCGGGGGTTTTCCGCTTCAGCTAAATACCACCGGAAAACATTGGTCCAATAGTGTTTTTTAGTAGACACTTATTTGTGTTTTATATATTACCATATACTGTACTCCAGATATGTAATCCTTTCCTTCCCGCACCCCCCCCACCCCCAGCAATTGCATCAATCGTGACTCATTTTAAAACTTTTATCACCATTATAGCAAAACCTGTGGCTGCATGTTTCTCGTGAACCCATTAACAATATGAACGTCACCCCCCCCCTCCACCCAATTCGATCAATGGTCGCAATTCGAAGCCGTTATTGCCTCGTGTTTTATGGTCTCCTTTATTGTTTTTCATGTTGTGAAAATTTACTCCGTTAACCTAGATGTACCAATACTACCATATAGTCCACATAAATGCATAAATAAACTCCTTAAAAAAAGTTTTTTTTACACGACGGTGTTATTAACAACTTCGTTTAACTCTCGATTGAGAAGTTTGTCAATGGCACCTGAGACGCGCGGCGCCTGTGTTTTTTGTGTGAACCGATTCCACAGTTTAGGGACCGCAGTGTTTTTGACCTACACAAAAATATGACTAATAAGCCGTCCATACAAAAATTGTAATTGCTTGAAATGAGGCAATTAATTGATTTTGATACAGGCATGCATTGTCTCCGGATCTGAGGTACATGTGCAAATTTGGGCTTGATTGGACAACAGGGAAGTAGACTAACTTTTGATTTACGAGATTTGACCACGACAAACACAAGTGAAGTTAAATCAACCCATTGAAAAAAACATTTTACAAACGGTTGAAATGTATGTATCGCAAGCCTCAAGTCGCTGAATCAATGCATAGTTAAACCCACCCATGTTTTGTTCGTGCATTGTTAGGACTTAATTCTCCATACATTGCTAGTTTAGCATGCCGTCTTTCGACAAATATCCATAATACAAGTTTTTTTGGGTTTGATTGCGTAAATGTGTCCGTTAAACCCACCACCACCCGACACAGCCAGTAAGGAAGGTTTGTCACGTAAACAGAACATGCCATAGCGTTACTAGTACAACACCAGTGTGTTGGAGAGCAAATTTGACAACATTTACAATCTATTATGGATTTACATGCCTACTTTTAAGTTTTTTGTCTTTTCTCCGACTGCTATCGGATATCCATGTTATGAGACCCATGCTATATTGTGAACTTTTGCAGAGCATTGCAGCCCCTTCATGTTACCAGAATGGCCCAAGCAAGTGGATGACGGAGCCACCTTGTTTTAAAATCTCCCAAGTGACTTCTAATCCACAGTCGGGTGCAGGAATTTTCGACCTACCCTGCCACAGTCCTGATCCATCGCATGACTGTAACATTCAAATGGTTAGATCTCGGAGCTGGCATTTTGGCACTCATTGTTGACCAGGCTTGGACCATCAACTTGACAACCTGGGATCGAACCTAGGGGCTAAATGTGCCAGCTCGACACAGACTTCTTGGCTACCTATCCTCCAGTCTACTGTAAACTGCCTTATTCTTCCTCGCCTTGAAAATCTATCGAAGGTGAATCAACTGTTGCGGTGCCTTTATGTTCTTCCACTGCTACTTAAGAGCAAAACCCATTTGTAGACGTGGCGATGCGTGATTTGTGTGTCGCGATGTAGACGCACTCTCTGAGCCAGCGACGGGCCGTGCCGGGGAGGAGGAAGCAGTTCGACACGCTGCTTGCCGAGCACCGGGCGCAGTCGCGGGAGCGCGAGCGTGAGAAGGAGCTGCAGCAGGCGCTGCGGGACTCCGCCGCCCAGCACGCGCCCCACAGGGCGGCGCAGACGCCCGCCTCCACCCTGTCTCCCGCACGTGCCAAGCCCAGCACCATCACCAGGTAGCCACGCTTGCGGTGCGCCCCCCCCCCACCAGCTTTGATGCTGGGTGCACGTGTCTAGGTCCTCGGTTAAGTACTCCTGTAGGTTTTTACGGTTGTGCTGTAATTCTGTCTTGGGGTTCTACCACTTGTTGATCGGCATGTCTGAGGTTAGGACCACGTGCTGGGAGGAATTCGGTTCCTGAAGGAACTCCCAGCAATTGGAGTCGTATATTGGACATGCCAAGGGAGGTTGAGAGGATTATAGGGTCTTTGAGAAAGAGCAAAAATTGGGAAGGTCTTCGGCCACACAGGAGCTCCCCTCGTTCAAGTCCTTTCTTTTGCTGTCTGTAGTACAGACGGCTGGAGAAAGAGAAATCCTAGACAATGGAGGCAGCATAGAATGCATCTGCCATTTGAGCGAAGGTTAGCTGAGGGCTTTGACAGGATACCTTTGTTGCTGGAGAGTAGAATTTAGATGACATTGGAGCAGTAGGTGGATACGAGTCCGTGGAGGATCTTGAAGACTGACATTGATCTTGCAGTTGACATGGGCATGGATTGAGAGAAACTGAAGGCATTGGAGTGACTGGTTTTCTTTTTTATTAGGTGTAGGTGACGTCTGGCAGAATCGTTTTGGATCCCCCTTGACTTTGGAAGAGGCATGTTGGGAGGTTAACAGGAGGAGCGTTGCAGTGGTCCATTCGAGATTATGTAATGACGATGAAATGAGTGTCTTGATAGCAGATGCAAAGAAATGGACCGTGCAGGTGATGTTATGCAAAGTGGGGAGCGATGGGAAGTGACCCAAGGCTCATTCTATGCCGACCCTTAAAGTATTCGAGCACACTTTTTTTTTCCGGCTTCTCGTTCGCACCTTGACAACGTCTACATGACCCCCGCAGTCCTTTATTGAGCATACTGTCCACAAATTGCTACTTGGTTTACCTCCCATTGATATATAAATCTGCTTTTGAGAAAATGCCCCATTCCACAGACACGGGCACTGCTCAAGGTCACCATTGACATTCTTATGGGTTTGAAAGAGGTGGGTGGGGGGGGGGGGGGGAGTTGGAGAAATTACTGCAGGAGTCGTCTTTGATTTGTTGGCAGTGTTTGACACTAGGCCACGGTGCGCTATCGCAAACGCTGAACTTACAAGTTGAGTAATACGGTTTTTGGTTTAAAAATTATCTTGCTGACCTCAATTTGTGCATTGGGGAAAACATCTGAATGCAACAGATTGTTATTTTTCTGGTGTACCACCCAGAGCTTTGTCCTTGGCTCTACACGAATTCAGTGTTTATTTAGTACGACAACGTGCAAGATCGGAATGTACCCAATTTTGTCAGACCTTCTAGAGCCAAGCAGGTTTGAGCCTGGATAGCACTTGCATTAGTAACCACCGTGCAAAAAAAGGTGTAGAGGACATTGCAGCAAAATCAATTCTTCTGTACTCTGCCCCCTCCCCCACTTTCACCAACCTGCACTCTTGAAGTAGGGTCAAGTATAACCCGCAAGGCTTGGAGGGATACCCCCTTGCAGCAGTGGATTGACAAAAATGGCCTGTACATGTAAAGATTTTAGTCGCTATTCATATTTTCTGTTAAATGGCATCCAGTTGTATTTACTTGTTGGTGCCAACTCAATCTTGACCAATATCACGTGAATGTCTGCACAGAGATATTTAACATTTGGAATCTCGATGGCTTGTGCGAAAATAAAACGATGCTTGACATCTTTCGGAATTGTTAATCTAGTTGTCAGGTATTAATGTTCATACATGGGACCTTTGCTGGCAATATATTTCCTGCCATCCTTGTATCCAAATACCTTGGAATCTGACTTAATTTTGGCATTCCTTTCTAGGCTCTTAGTAATATTGTTAGTTTAACTTGTATACATCATGTTGCAAGACTATCTTGCTCGCTCGCTCCAAACTTATTACAAAAATGATAACTCCTTGCTATTTTTGTCTGGACTCGAAATTGTTATTTGTTCGGGCTTCCAAACATACGCGCACCTTCAGTCGGCGCAAAATTCAAGCACGAAAAACTTCTTTGCTCTGAGATGTATGCTGGTTACCTGTTGAATGTTGAGTACTGGATATTCCAGACAAGTAGCTGCTCCACAATTTAATAGACCTTCGCATTTGTCTACCTTGCAGCCAAACATCCTGGCACGCGCTCTTAATAAACTGCAAGCAGGGTTAATTTTGTCAATGTAATTATTGACAAATATTTGTTATCTTTTTATTTTTGTCAATGGTGGCTGAGGTGGATTAAAATCATCATGGATACTGATGACTACTGCTACCCACAAGGTGCTTGATTTATGACGATGAAGTTTTCTAGTCTGACCATGAAGACGCACGTTAAGAATAATTCGGTAACACTATTAGAATCTAAAGTGCACAAAGTAAGGTCGACCATTTACTTCAATAATGAGCCAAGAATGTCTGTGTCCCTCGCATGTCGGCCAGCCCCCCTTATTAATATTTGTGAACAGGTGACGTCTTCCAAATGGACCCCCCTCCATTAATAATAATTAGCGGCTGACGTCGCTCCATGGGGGGGGGGGGTGAGGCGCCTCCTGCCCCCTCCTCGGCGTTCACTTACAACCCTCACTACAAAGGCAGAACCCTCGCGTCGCGTGATCTCCGTAACGCTATTGAGACACATAAGCAAAAAGGACGTCATGATGAACAAGGGATTATAACCTTTAAATGAACTAAGTCTGTCACCGCGGCCTTACAAATTGCACACGAATTGATGCAATGAATATCACGTCAGGGTCTGCTTTTTGCTTGCAAGTTTCAGATTTACTGAAATACGCCCGTCCGCGGGTAAAAGACTAGTAATACTATAATTGGCTATAGTGTCTATAAAAAGATTTACCGAGTTGACTGATTGGCTGGCCTGATAATGCATCATTGTAATGACCAAGTGTGTACTAAACCGTTGACTGCTTTAGTCGACTAGACCAAGATGATTAACAGATTCTTCTGCACGTTTGAGAATTGGTAAACTCCAAGTTGTCGGCTAGGCTAACTGACCTGAAATAAAAATTTCCGGCAAACAACATCAGCAACCGCAGGTGCGTCGTGCCACCGTCAACATTGTGGAGCGAACTTTTGGTATAATGGGGCTGAAGTTCTATAAGGGTCCGCCTGACCCATAATTTGGTGCATTTACGAACTCGGAAGTATAAAAAAAATACTGAACATTTCAAATTCTCTATGGTCAGTGACTCGTGTGAATTATGACTAAATGGGCATCTACCGAATGTTTATTGTGACATTGTATTTATTGGTATAGTTTTTTCTACTTGTTAGATTTTGTGGAAACTTAATTTGCATGTCGTTTTTTATAGCATTTTATACGCACTTGGTGATGTAACGACATGTGAAGTACGGAAACATATTAAATGTTTTTTATTTTTGTCAGCCCCTGCAGGGTGACGGGTTGAGTCGGTCACCACCTGCGATTTTAACTTGCAGCCTTTTCTGGCTTGTGAATCGTGTGCTCTAACCGTTGCACCTCCTTCCCCCACACACATACACGGACACATTTTTATTAATCTAGTAACACGAACTTAATACACACTGCAGTGACCACTGGGAATCTTGATGACCGTCGGCTGCCATACGCTTGAATCGTTTGTCATGGCGAGCCTTCTTGTTAAGAGTAAGCCCAAAAGGTTTTGTTTTACAGCAAAAGGCGCTGTTGTGCTTGCCATTGGTTTTCCCATCATGTTCTTGGTGTCGCGTGACCTCACCTAATACTGCTTATGTATTGCACGTGGCCAACTGGAGAATTGTGGCCGTTTTAGTTTAGCTAGAAGCAGCACACCGACAACTGTATTACTACAACATTTTGGTATTGGCGCCATTCTTGTTATGGCACAAGGATTTCCATGCAGTGCTTCATAGACGCGTGTGTTTTGCCAATAGGGGGCGATAACTTTACACTCAAGTGATTTGTACTGTTAACAGAGGTGATCCCCTCTACTCTGCACCACTAAACGCTGCAACAAAGTCAACAGAGCAAAATGGACAACCACTCGGTCAGACTCGTGATTTCGTTCGGTTGAACCTTTTCCCACCCGCAGGCATTCGAACAGCCCGTCTTGCCCGGGCCCCCCGGAGCCGGCTCCAAGCCCACCGGGGTTCTCGGTGGACATCGGCAACCGAGTGTGGAGCGACGGGGAAGAGGAAGGGCCCAATGCGGAGCCGCCCGAGAAACTGGACTGCCAGTACTCGGGCAACCACCCTCGCCCGCATGGGGTAACGACGTGAAACCACTAAGCGCGCACGCATGCACCGGTCCAATACGGCCATCCGGTTGTGACCCGCAGTACCGCTCGCATTAACATATTTTTTTTTTCTGTGCAGCCAGCATGTGTTACCAGTCGGTTACTTGCGTTGAAAGCAATGCAAACCTTTTCATTGGTAGCACGTGGGCCATATTTTAGTCACGGTCACATCCACATGTTACGGGTTCACAACACCACATAATGTCATAACGTCTTGAGACGTGACATGACGTCACGTGGCCCTCCAGCACATGAGACGCCTGTGCATCGCAAATGTTGCAGTCTTGAATCCCCCCCCCCCCCCCCCCATCATACACACACCAGTTTTGTTACTGTGGTCGCGTTTTAATGGCCACACTCTTCAAGGTCCTCCATGAACTCGCCCCTGCCTGACGCTCCGCTCCCTCATCTCTACCCCTCCTGTATGAACTCTCCTACCTCTCTTCTCATCTCGCTTTATTCTTCTTTATGATTCCTGATAGCTCTCACTTCTCATCTCTCTCTATTCCCCTCCATGCATTGTCCACTCCAGCAACGATGGCTTTTTGTCGAAGCCCACAGTCAACCCTTTGCTCAGTGGGAGGTCGCTCTATCTCCTCTGCTGCCTCCATAATCTGGAACGCCATTCTTCCCAGGTATCTGTGCTGTCAACCAACTGCTTCTGGTCAAGTCCAAGCTCAAGACATTCCCTTTTTTTCCAATGAATGTCTGCTTCTCTCCGAATAATAAATATGGCCACCGTTTCCTTGCACTCTCGTGAGATGTGGTCACGTTTGTACGCCATGTAAATCCATATTTCATGATATTGTATTGCTCTGTGCGGCAGCACTGCACGCTTGGGAGCTGCTGGATTCCGTGTCCGCATAGTGCCGCGTCATCTGGATTATTTCTCCTTGTGCCGCAGTACTGCACGTTCGGGAGCCGGAGGCTGGACAGCAGGTTTTATGCGTATGACCGGAGGTGGGATCGTTGCAGAGGCGCCCTCACCTCCATGACGGAGAGGCTCCTCAACGCCCAGCTGTGGCGGTCAGTTCTCGCACTGCTGTCCCATTTGCACTTATTCACACACCCAATCAGACAATGGACAACTGTGTCAATGGCATGGGCCATCTAATGTACAGGCGGTTCGACAGCATTGGGGCCCAGGTGCTGTGCAATACAGAGGTGCGGTGGGTAGACGGAACGGAAGGCAGGTGGGGACACAAGCACTAGCGTTTGGCTAGAGGCATTGGCAATACTTGCTTTTGGGCATAGGCAATGCAGATGTTTGTGGAGGGTGGCAGATTTTGTTTGTTTGTTTTAGACTTGTGAAGCAGCAGTGTCCAGTTCTGCAGTCGGTGTGGCTGTGATTTGATAGGCGCGTTGCGTAAACTGCCCATGAGACACCTTGGCCTGCGTCGCTGGCCATGCGCGCTGGCATTGCACGTCATCGGCAGTCGGGGGACCCGGGGGGAGAGTGAGACGGTGGTAGAACACAGGGTCCCATTTCATTCCTTGCGCGAGGACCCATGCCAACTACGCTACTGGACCGTGTGTCCTTGTGCTCTTTCTAATGGTCTCTTGTTATGCTCTTCGCATATTGTAATCATCTGTACGAGGTCACTTAAAATATTTTCTCGGAAACCACATAACCCTGGCGCTTCAAATCGGCTGCGGTGAAATATGCCTACCCAATCGCACTATACTACAGATCTGTGGTTTTGGGGCAAAATTGGCAATGAAACTCTTCCAAGAAGGCATTTTACTTTTCAAAAAACTAATTAAAGTTATGTTGCAGAATTGGCACAATTAATGCTTGTCCATTAATCCGACGTTCGACTGTGCGGCTGGCTTGCATGTATCTTGGTTGCATTCTGTTGCACATCATCGCGGGTTAAATTGCAACTTCATTGCTTCTGTTTCACAATATGGACGAAATTGGAACCGTTGATCATATCCCATGTTGTGAGGATTGACCTTGGTTTAAAAAAAAAAAATTTGAAAAAAATGTACTTTACCCCAAATCTATTGCGATTGTGCCATCGGTGTTATGTCATTCGATGAAGTATCTAATTCGGATCTCTCCTGGCGTGGCGACCGACCCCCTTTTGTGAGAGAGCAGCCCACGAATGTGGAGGTTTACAGCTACCTCTCGTTCCTTTTTTAAATAAGCTTATGCTTCACACAGTAAAGGGCACACTGTCCGCCTTATGAGCGTCAATAGATCTGTTGTAATAAACCTGCAACTTTTTAAATTTTGCCAAATTTAAGTGCAGAAACCTGTTTAATTATGCCTTTTCTTTCGTGCAATCAGTGGTAACTCTGGGGCAGAGATGTGTCAACTTGCTACACTTGAGAACCCAATTTAATTGCAGGTGGCAGAAGCCTGGCATTGCACCCAGGCTCCCCCTGTAGTGCCAGCTCAGCACCCTGACCTCTGAGCCACTTAGACCACCTCCTCTTGATTAATAATTCTTATTTACACGCGTTGATACTCTCTTTGGTTCTTTCGGTAAAGTCACCGTAGGTAGAAAAAAATAATAGATCGTGAAGTGTCGATCGCAACAACCAAGCGACCGTCTTCAGGTAAAAGAATCTGATTCTTTCACCTGAAGACGGTCGCTTGTTGCAATCAACGTCGTGATCTATTATTTTTTTTTACCTACTTGACTTTACCGAAAGAACCAAAGAGTATGGATTCCTGCAATCACGAAAGCTTCAAATCAAGATTGATATTTACATCGCCAGTTTTTATTGACAAGTTAGACGTGTGGATTTGCTCGTTTATCTTTGCATGGCTGCCTTGTGTTTTATGTAATAAGATCAAATAGTTAAAGTGCTTGTAGATAATGTACCTAGGATTTGTGGCATGGTTTGTCTGCTCTAAGCTCTTGAGCCAGATGGCCACTTCCCCATCTTAATGTCTTCCTTTCTCCTTCCAGGAAAATCCCTCCGGCGGCGGAATGCACCGTCTCGTCCCCTCCTCCTCCGGCGCTGGGCTGCATGCTGCCCTCGGCGGGCTTCCCACAGCTCTCTTTCCCCCCCACGTACTTGCCGTCTGTCGCGGGCCACGCGCCCATGCTGCTCAGTCCACCTCCGGCCTTCCTGAGTCCCACCGAGCCCACGTTCGTCGGCGGACCCCCGTCGGTTTCCGGCGTGCCGTTCCCCGTCGGCGCGCACGGCGCCACCTTCGGGTTCCTCGACCCCGCGCTGGGCACCGGCCTCAAGCCGCCCGCCGCCCACGCGCTGGCTCCGCCGCACTCCATCCCGGCGGCTGGCGGCGGCGCTCTGACGGGCCCCACGTCCCGGCCGACGAAGCACCGGCTCGGGAAGTCCGCAAAGCTCAAGGATGGCGGCGGCGGCGTGACCGAGAAGAAAGTGCGACACTCGTCGCCGTCGTGCTCGCCTGCCGAATCGCCACGCCAACAACACTGTGCGGGGGCCGTCGGGCCGGGGGGCGGCAGCTCGACGAGCCTCTCCCCGGCCTCGCCGCCCTTCACCGGCCAGGGAGGCGGTGGTCACAGCACCAGCAATGGTGGTGGTAAGCCCGAGACGGCGGGCAGGACCGGGGTAGACTCGATTCGGCAGATGAGCGTGGTTGTAAGCAGCATAGACTCCTCCGCGGACGTGGCCGGAGCAACGGCGCCGCCAGCGCTGTCGGCCGCGAGTCACCACCAGCCAGAGGACCTGAGGCGGCCTTCGCGGGTGGCCCGGCCGCCGCCGCCGCCCACGCCGCACCACCAGGCGGAGGAAAACCGGCGGCGCTCGTCCCAGCCCCCGCCGAGCTGCTACGGGGAGGACGGGAGAAGGACCGGGCAACCCCCGCAGCAGCGAGTGGAAGAGCGCAGGAGGACGACGGCTCACTCTCCGCCGCCTGCGCCTCCGCCGGCCACCGCCACCACCGCGCAGCCTGCGGAGGGGAGGAAACGGAAAGCGCCCAGCAGCCCCAAGCCGAGCAAGGCTTGCAAGTCGTCGAGCCTGAACAGCGTGCACGGCAAGAGCCCGTCAATCTCGGGGATGCCCAACAATAGCATTGTCCAGCAGGTGCGTTCTTCTGCCACTCGCGTTGGCCGCCGCGTGCCGCTTTAGCGCGCTTCGAGGCAGTGCGACACGGCCCTTGACAATTTGGTTTGTTGTGACTCAATTAGGGTAGTTACTCGAAAAATCGGTTTTCGAAGTCGTGGAATCTATAATCGAATCCGGTGTAAAAACAAAAAATTGTACCAAATTTTATTTTGTCCATTTGGAACGCGTGACTGGCCAAGCCGCAAGTGGGTTCCAGTGCCATTTGTCAGCCACGCCACAGGCATCAAACGGGGGCACTCAATTGCAAGTATCGTCAGTCAGTTTTTGTGATCCAACACAGACAAACGCACGGTGCTGAACTTTTAATGTTAGACCTTTTTGTCATGTGCGGCACACGAATAGTCATGTTTAATATATTTTTTCAAGAGATTCTCAAGAGTGCTAATAAACCAAAATTAACCAACCTAGACACTCTGCTCCTCCACCTAAGACTGGAAAATAGCGGGACATGCTTCATGCTTGGTCAACTAATTACAACTCGCCATTATTAGCTGAAATTTAATTTACATTGCGATTGCAATCAATTTCATCATGAATGATGCAATTCCAATGGTAATTGACCCCAATTGTGATGTGCATCACAGGAAACATTGCAATGGGGAGTTTTTTTTGTGGAGATGCAATTTCTTGTATGTATGGACTTCTTTCGCACCGTACGTAGTCAACCGTTCTAGTCGTAGATGTGGGGGTGTAAGGACGACAAACTGAACACACACAGCAGTTCTAAACAGTTTTCAATCCTTAGATTTGAGAGTGCATAGCTCCCAGGTGGCTTCCTAATATTGGAAGGAAGAACCTTGACTTGGAGAGGCGAGTCGACATGGATGACTTCAGTGAGGGAATATGGGGAGGTATGTAGCGTCAAAGGAACTAATCGACGGAGGGTTGCGTGAGAGCCTTGGTTGCAGTGGAAAGCACGTGGGGGAGGGCGAGTTGAGCGGTAGGAGGAGACGCGTACGTGGTGGATTGTGAAAACGATGAAGGTCATCCGTTAGTCGACTCTACACTGCAGTGAAAGCTTGTGGGAGGGAATGGAGGATTTGGGTGATTGTGGTCTTGTTTTCCAGCTGTGGATTGAAATCCTGGTGAGGTGACAAGGGAAAATCCAATTGCAACAGGAAAAAATGTGTGCAGGCCGGAAAACAAAGTTGTTTTTTTTACTCGCAAATGTGTGCACTGTGTAAAAGTAAAAAAGCTACCAGCCTTAAGTATTATGAAAGGCCACCAGTTCCCGACGAACTGCATTGTGGTCATGTGGGCAAGGAGTTTTGCGGCAGTGTTTCGGATTTCTAGGTCTTTTTTGTGGGTTTTAGGGAGGCCGTGGAGGATGGTTGCAATTGGTCAAGTCGACCCTGGGATAGAGAAGGCATAGATGGAGAGTCTGCGATGGAAGGAGGCAAGAAAGTGACAGGTGTGGAAGCAGTTGCAGATATGGAAAGGTCTGCAAAGTTGAATGAGAACTTGGGGATTAATGACGACTCCCAAGATTGCACACAACTCTGCCAAGGCTTTGGTTCCGTTTTGGTGATGTTTAGATGGAGAAATTGTTGATCCGAGGATGAGACCACATCAATATGGGTATGCAATTGGACGGTGAGGTTGCTGATATTGGAGTCTAAAGCAGCCAGGTAGGTTAGGACTTGGAGAAATAGGAGGTAAGAGAGATGCTTGGTCATTGGCCACAGGTAGGAGAGCAGTCTAGAATAACCTCGGTGCAAGCCAGATTGTGCTCGGTCATGTAGACCATGTCGGTAGAGGTGTGGGTAAAACTTGGAGATGATGACCCATTTTTTTTGGCCTTTTTTGGAACGGATTTTCAGTGATGTTGATTTTTTTTTAATAGTTAGGGTGGAATTAACTTTCCCATTCCGATGACGTCCTTGTAAGTCATCAGTTTTTCTACAAATTCCATTCCTATGACGTACCTGGTAGGCCCTCCCACACTGGAGGGTGTCTGGCACAGTTTGGCGACTGCTATCCTAGAGTGCGGTCGTGACGCTACAGTTCTGCGGTGAGTAAAATTTCCTTCAAAAAATGGCATGGTCATGCCTCTCCGAAATAAAATTTACGCGGAAACCACTTGCGCGTTCCGAGATTCTGCAGTGAACGGGATCCACCCTGCAACTTGCAGACATCTTGAAACGGTTAAACGGTTAACAGCATTAGTTTTGAAGACCAGAGGAGCTGTAACCCAGAAGACGAGATGGAGACATTGGACTAATCTGGTCGTGTATAGTACTTGATTGAATCGGCAGTATGTGGTTGGAGTTTGGTGGGAAGAGGATCAAGGATGACATTACTCTCGGCTTGGCTGGGAGATGACGCTTGTGTTTGTCATTTGCGGTGACTGCTGGTAGAAATGTCACGGCGATTGTGATGAGGTGGTAGCACGGGTGTCCGGAGAAACGAATGAGATGTGAACATCGGGAAAGGCATTTTTGGTTTTCTAAATTCTGCAGCAATGGATTGTTTTGCGAGTTTTCACTTCAAACTAACTTTAAGTGTGCGTTCAAATTGGCTTGAGGTTCACATGATCTTATGAACTAGGCTATTGTGAATACAATATATCAATGAACTTTAATCATCCTCTCATTGTAATGAAACCATCCCAGAGCGCAGATCCCATTTGGCAGCTGTCTCTGTGTAGCACGAGGTGACTTAACACCGAGCTTGGCGAGGGCATTAGTTTGCCAGTAGGGGGGGGTTGATTGCTACTTGAGTAAGTTGTGGCTTTTTCAAAGAAAAAAATGTTAATTGAACCTGAGATTTACATTGTCCTAATTATATGGGGAAACTGGAGGAAACTCGTGAAAGAACAGGGGGAGAATGTACCAACTCAATACAAAGGCGCCCGAATTGAATCGATCCCAGGTTCTCCTTGCCCCCTGCCACCCCCCAACTCGAGCCACCTCCAAAGGTTGATGTGACAAAGCATGCTTGTTGCTACCTCCAATTTTCGATGGTTAGGCATGTGAAATCGTTAATCCATTGGTCGATTTTATTAACAAGTCTCATGATTTGTCCGACTCCTGCCTTCTAATGACCGATTATTTCAATTCATGTATGTTGCTTTTTAATTGGTTCATTTGACTCCACCGGCCACCTAGAGGCCACGCTACATTCACCACTGGCAAAAATATATTTCATTTTTTAAATCAAATTTATGGCAAGTTATCTCCATTTTGTGACCCAAGTTGAATCGCTATAAACCTCGTGGTCAACACGACCTAACATCTGGAAGTTTGTCCGAGTGTGTGGATTCAGCCTTCCATGCCTACCTGGGGTCAATAAATCCGAGTGCCACTTTGTGAAAGGTCACCAGTTTTTGTTCCTATTGAAACAACTTCCCCCATCATATGGATGTGGAATTTCCACATTTTGCCTCTGAGCTTTAGAACGATCAGCACCACTCTACACTGCCTCCTAAATTTTATTGGGAAGCCACCGACTGCACTTTTTTTAACTCGCAGTTTACATTGAACAGGTTTTGAGTTGTGAATTGACCTTTCAGCAGTCGTGCGTGCAAACACACGACCTATGACCCCGTCCCCTGGAATGCTCCCGATCGGAAGCCGAGGGAGGCTTGGCGCCTGGATAAGTGCACGTGCATCAGTCACCAATCTTGCACGCCAGGCAGTCGTAGGTGGCTCTGGGCTCTGCCACGTGATATCCAGCAGAGGTCCCTACAGCACAATACATTGTACTATACTTCTCTGCATCCACACATGCTCATCTGCCCTTTTACCTACCCGCACAGACCAGCATGGCAGTCGAATTAGCTCCCATTACCCAGAATGGATTGACGGGGGTTGTACTGTATATGTACGCGCGAGGGGAAATGGGTATGCATAGGCATACTTTATTTGGGTTTGCAAAGTGGTCTCAAGACTTGAGGGAATTTTAAGGCATCCCACAATGGAAAGTGGATTTTTTTTAGTTAGTGTCCACATCCCAACGTTTGTGTTTATTTTGTATGTAGAGAGGCAGTCGTGGTCAAATGTAGTAGCCTCCTTTTAGAGAGGTGACGTAATCCCGTTTTCCACTTTCAATGCGACCTCTAATCATTTCGTACACACGCGATTTCGATGCTTGTTACCGATATTAATCGGTGAGTAAATCTAAAGACATCTCTAATCCAAACGTAAGATACATTGTATTCATGAATCAATACAATTTTATTTTTATATATAAAAAAAGTTAATTGAACGCCATGCATTGGCCTCAAATAGTGCTGGCAGATCAGTGTGTGTGTTCCGTGGCCTCGAAACCTAATTAATATTTATTACTCGCCAAGAAAATGTGGTGGAATATTGGTGCAGTGATGTGAATCGCTGCACTATGTGAACCTGGTGATCTGAGTGATTCCTGACCACGGGTGTCATTGGTGGCATGGCAGATGACATCTGAACTCATCCTGTTTTCCACCACTCCCCCTTTCCCCAAATCACACTATCCAGCATGGTGACGTATTGTCAAATAACCCCCACGTCAAGTGGGAAACAGATGCAAATTCTGAGGAAAAATACTTCAAAACCATCCTTCAGGCCAATTACAGCACCTTTTGATTTCAACCCACGGAAATTTACGGGAGTGACATTCCAATCGCATAACTGAAATATCCACTTAATTGTAACTTAAAAGCCTGTTGAATCATTGATTTTTCAGAGGGCACCCCGAGTAATTGTCTATATGGGCTGTTGAATATTTGGATTGCGTCTCCCTCTTATTTCTGGTCTCTTTTTTTAAAGAGGTCCGTTGGCACAGATCGCAGGACTGAGCCTGTGTTTGAATCTGGATGTCGAAATGAATGTTTTTTTTTTTACATTCTGAAGTGTAGCAGTCGTCTCAGCCCAGTTGCCAATGACTGCACGAAATGCCCACTAAATTTAAATTTGGTTTTAACTTTATTTGCCCAAATTCCAGCTTTGACCATTAAAAATATTTGTTCAACTTGCCCATGGTATGATTTTGTTGTAGCAGAGCAATATGGGAAAGTGCTGCCCCCTAGCGTGGCTGGTGACGGTCACTTGAGGGCATCCTTTAAAAGTAGTTGTGTGATATCTGCTTCCACGAGCTGCTCGCTTAATGCACAAGGCTGCGCGAGAGTTCCAAAACACCAATGACGTCTCCTGACGCGATGCTGATGGCACAATCGGGATGATAAAATACAAACGCCAGTTTTGTGCACAGTTTCATAGACTTTTAATTGGCTTGTTCTGAAAAAAGATCTACTGATAATGCTGTTTTATAGAGTGATTTTTAACTGCCGGGGTACATCTACAGAGTGGCAACATTTTTTCAGTGGTTGCCGTTTGGTTCTCCTACAGTGGCAAACAAACTTGGCATGTTTGTTTTTTGAATACAATATGCTAAAGTGTGCTTGATATGGCAGTCAATCTTGGGTGGGTGGGGGAGGAAATGACACCTTGTGTAAGGCGGTCACCTGGCACATGTTGACGTTTGTCATGCCACCTTACCATTGTTGGTAATCTCTCGCCTACGTTTTGGACATTGTTTATCAGGCCAAGGTCCATCGGTGAAGGGTACCGTGTGCCGGTTGGTCGTGTCACCGTGGAGGCCAGCGGCATTCGCCTGGGGGAGCGGCGGAGGGGCGCCTTCACATCCCGCCACCCCATCGGTGCCAGACAGGCGGTGCTGCCGACCCCCCCCCCCCCCCCCCTAACATCCTGGACTCAAATCGGACGGTACGAGAGAGACGGTGCCAGAAAGCCCGGCTGGCTAGCCCCCTCGGCCGGCCGCGTCACCGGCCAACTCGCCGCCGTTCAGGGCATCCAAGCGGGGGAGACTCTGGTCTCGGGCTCGTCAGGGGCTACAAACCAAACGTGCGAGACGCCTCCCACCCGAGCACTTTTGCTGTAAGAGAAAGGACTCGGAGAGGGGGGGGGGGTGGTGGAGTGTCCGTGGACAATAAAGCAACAGTTCAGGAAGTGTTCCACTGGTTATGTGTCAATATCCGCTCTATGCAGATTCTGGTGAGACCGGTCCGACCCAAAACCGTAAGGGTGTCACGGGCTGGCCTCGAGGAGGGGATTGGTTTGGTAACGGCACGAAGGACTGACTGCGTCTCCGGGCGCGTGCGACGCTGTGCGGTTACGCCGTGATGCAGGATTGCGACGAAGATGGTGCAAGGGGGAGGAGGTTGCGCTACCGGTCGGTGGTATGCGTATGCAGTAAAGTCAAGCGAGGATAAGTAATGAAATCATAAAGGGTTGCTAACACAGCTGCCTCTAAAGTCTCAATGTGGAACAAATCGTAGCCGTTAATGGTGCTGGCTGTTAGTACTGTTAGTGTCTCAACAGATTAGGTTTTTTTTTTACAATAGATGCATTATTTTTGCATCCCTTAAATTTGAATTTAAATAATTTAATGGCAAGTGACCATTTTAAACCCTAATTTATACGCAATTGTGTTTGTCAAACGAAACTTAAGTACAGGGTTAGAAACATGAACTACACTGCACAGTGTAGTCATTTGTAATGAATTTTTTCCCACTTTAAATGTTGCTGAAATTTACAAATTAAGCAAAGTCCCCAAGTTGTAAAGACAATGAAATAAATACCTTCTCACGCTGAAATACAACAATGCCATTATTTATAACTTTCTAAAAACATTAACTACCTTTTTTAGAACAACAGCCCTTTTTTGATACGTAAACATTTTGACGACTCCAAAACCCTGACGTTTTCAGTTTGGCGTTTGCAATAGGGGCGGGAGGCAATGATGTTGGCGACCCAGTGTCCGATTTTTTTGTGTGTGGTGGAGGCAACGTGGTGTTGGCAACTCTGAATGATACAGAGCGTTGGGTGTTTTTTTTTTTCACTGTAGCTCTGTCCCGACCCACAAGACCTTGTTTTCCCATAATCCCGAGTGGCACTCTTGAGCTGAACGCAATTGCTTGTGGTGCTGAGGATGCTCTGTCACAAGTAAGAACAATAACGTGGACTGCTTTTGCTTACTGCTGGACCTAGTGTTTGATTTTTTTTTGTTATGGAAGGGAGAATAATTTAAAATCAGGACAAGACAACACACCCCTTTTTTCTAAGTTTCTACTTGGTAGAAACTCCTTCGGGGTTTTGTTACATTTTTCAAGAGAACACTAAGTACATATCTGCCAGAACACCAATGCCAAACTGTGACATCACTTTGTAGTGTTTATGCTTTCATCAACCGAGCCTTAGCGTCACCTGGGAATGTGTCGTAAAAAAAAAAATGACCTTCCACAAGCCACCGTTTAAACTCCTACCCCGAGGTGGAAAATCGTCTGCCACAGGTGCACTTTTTTTATTTTGAGTAGAGCAGCAGGTGACCATGGATTAATTTTTAAGTGCCATATAGGATTCCTCTTAAATCGCTGGTTAGCATCGCCATCCAGTCCCAAATTTGCGCAAGTTTAACAGCAGCAACACTTTGTTTATCACTACAAGAATAGACTGCCGTGAGTGCTGTGTGTTTTTTTTTGACTGCACTCCATTAACTTCTCTCGTGCGCATGCACTCTACTCTGCCCTTAGTCACCGGACCCAGACACTCCCGATGTTAATGATGCCCGTTTAATTAGTCACTCCTGAGCTCGATCATTTTAGTCCCACCCACTTGCCCGGTCACAATGTGGTGGTATTCCACCATCTACGCACCTCCGTTCTCCTGGAAGTCCTATGCACCTTTTGAAAACTGTGACGCCCATGATTTATACACATGCAAGGTGTTGATGGTGGTTATCAACTTCATGTATTTTTGTTTCTGTGATTTTTTTTAAGTGCACTTTTTTTCTAGAGATGCCATTGACTAACCAAAACCCAGAGCTGGCCAATTGCCACTGATAGAGAACATTACGCAGTCAAAATAGGGCAGCTACCTACCCCATTCAAGTTGCAAACGCCACCCATAAACGACAAAGTTGTGTCTGGCAAAACGTGGATCAGAAGGTGACACTTTTTTTTGCTTGGGTTTTTCATTTCTCCGCCCTCTCGACTGGATTACAAATGGAGCAGGCATGCTGTGCAACTGCTTAAATAAACAAAAAACTAAAAAACAAAGTATTCGTTTAAAACATTTTATTTTTTGCTGAATACATTAGGAATACATTTCTTTCATCGTATGATGTAAATGTTTTATAATTTAAGTGCACACGTTTGCGCAAACAGTGTAAAGAAAAAATAATATTTTTAAATGTATTTTTGCACAGAGGGTTAACGTCATGATTTTTAGAATTCAAACCATGAAGAATCCTTTGATATGCTTTTTTTTCCTCTCTCCTTGTATTTTTTATTATTATTTATTATCGGATTATTTTTTTTGAAAAGCGAGATTATACAGTGGAAAGTTTACACCACTGGATGTATAGGAGGAGTTGTACTGCGCCTATCCCATCCATGGATCTGGAAACTGCCGCTCGCGTGGGCTCGGTGACGTGCTCGCTCGCCGCTTGGCTCAGCGCAGACACCAGCCATGGACTCAAAAAATAAAACAACGGTCCCTTAACTCAGCCATACATGGGTATATAGAATATACCTTGTCTGTTTTGTAATATAAATTAAAATTTAGGAAACTGTACCTTTTTATGTGTACATATAGCTGCATTTGAATTTGTAGAGAAACAAAATTTTGCCTACTTATAAGCACTATTTTAGCATTATCAGTTCTGTGCAAGTTTATGCCTTATTTAAATCGTTGTGGCAGCGACCCATGACAACATGTACATACATATTAAAAAATTGGGACTCTGCGGATACTGTACGTAAAGTGGAACATCCAAGCGGCAAATGCTTAAATAATTTTCAATGCTGACACTTTGACTTTTTTCGTAGTGCATGCTTTTTTTTGTCAAATGCAGAACAATGGGAATTTTTTGGTGGGAGGAGGGGGGGGATATATTATTTTCCATTCGGTAAATCTGTACAAAAATTGGTGCGATTTTGTTATGCGCCACCTTCGCTCGTTACAGAGTCGGGTGTCCAAGATTGATAATCTCATTGTGATATTTTCAAAAAAAACGGACGACGGATTAGGGGGGTGCTCATGGGTTTTTCACAATCTGTGTTGTATACTGTAATGCTTTTTTGGAACGGACGAACAAACTGGCTATATTCCTTAATGTCATGGGTCATACTATTGACTGAAAATACAATTTTGAGCTGTGAGATGTACAATTTAATGTTTTGTAATGACCTTCTGCAAATAAAATTTATATGCCTATTTATAACTGACGCTGTTTTTGTCTCGTGCATTGGCACCATGCGTTTATTTACAGGTGTCTCTACATCACCCACATGTTTTGAAATACTTGTTTTCTTAACTCTGACTTTGGGGAAGAAATGCCATCCAAGTATCAATCATGGGGGTTTGTTCACCATACTTCACCATGCTAATCGGTGCACGGTGGGGACGGGATCAAGATGACGGGTCGAGAGAGATTTATCGCCTCTCCTTGGCTTTGACCAGGATTTGAACCGATCGTGAGGTCAATAGCCAAGTGCACGAACCACTGCACCACCCCTTCACCCCATGCGTTTTTTACATTTTACTGACCTATTGCGTTTCTTATTCAGATGTGAGATGTGTAAATAAGTTGCATTGGTTGATTTTATGATTTTCACGTTACATTCTTTGACCTGCCCTCAAAATATTCAAGTTGATTATTTGTTTCACCATTCAGGCATTTGGTATGACTTTGCATCTTTTAAAAGTTGTGGAAAAAAATAAGGCTTTCACTTTCCAACACTTTCATGATACTTCCATGTTATAAATAGTGGGGGGGTGGGGGGTTCCGATTTAAAATGAATACCATTTTGTAAAATAAAGATTTTAGATTTTTTATCAACTACCAAATTTCTGATCTGAAATTAAAGTAAATATTTCCTCACGAGCTGTCATTTTACCAAACCTTTTTTTCTTTCCGAGTGCTTTAAGTGCAAGTTTTAGTTTCTGCACATCTTTTAGGACTACACTTTCACGTCACTTTCACCACAGTTTATTGGCAACTGTTCATAATTACTTTGACTTTTAGATTTTAAAAAATACCTAATTGCAATGTGTTTCCAAAACTTCTGGGTTTTTTTTATAACCGATCCAACATTTCATTTAATGCAAATCTCAAGCAATCGAAATTCGCGAACCATTTTATTAATGTAAATTGCGTACCTAGAATTATTTCAAAAACTATCATCCACTCACTTTAAAATCAAAGAATGGAATTCGTCCGAGAGGGAGGATTGTTCTCCTGTGTGATCGATGTTGCAGGTTCCTTGTGAATTTGTGCATCGTGGGAGCATAGCAGGTGGCAATGTTTCGATAACTTCATCCAGCAGTGGAATTAACTACGGCTGATGATGCCTTTTCGTATAAAATGCGTCCTTAAGATTAAACTGTCGCGTACGCATTCATCCGCTCGCCAAAAACGTCTTGGTTTGTTCATCGAAGGTTGGTGTGTAATGTTTCTTCACCGTTTGCTGTAACCCATCTCGGGTGTAATCTAACCTTGTACGAAATTACTTACACTATTTACTTCGTTTGAAGGTGCAAATGTGGCTCCAATATCACATTTTTACCCGACCGATACTTTTTATCGAAGCGTGTTTGTGTTGCATACTTTCCCACGCGCGTGTGGTTTAATGCAAACTTTGTGATGCCTTGCGTAGTAGGTGTCTTTTTTTGTTGTTTGAACATCTTAACACCTCCTGTAATGGGAAAAAAAGCAATATTTTTGTATCATTTCATAACAAGTCCCATAAATAAACCCGTAGCCTCGCTTTGCCACCACGAGGTGGCGTGCGCGTATCGCGGAGTCTCACGGGCAAATCCATTCGGACAACGGCCAGGGGGGTGGGGGTAGTAAGAGGAGTTTGCGAGCCAACGAGGCGCGTCCATTGCTCTAGGAGGTGAACGTCACCATCCAGAATGCTACCAATTGAAATCCACTCGCTGCATGAGAGGCCCCCCCACCCACCGCGCTGCGCGGCACGCGGGGGAGTTGTTTGGCCACACTTCACCACACTGGTGAAGGCGGGCGGCTGTTGTCGTTCGAGCGAAGAAATACCGGGCCAGTAATACCCCGATTTACGTCTTCCCCCCGTTTTACGTCGTTTCGCAAATACGTCGTCGCTTTATGATGAACGCGGCTACCGGGTTTGCGTCGCCTCAACACTCCACACACTCCCGTCGCTGACGACAGCGTCCTCTCTCGTTATCCGACTCCTACTGCCCTACACTTTGGGTCTTTTTAAATCCTTTATATTAAGTTCGCGTGCTTGCTTGCTTGCTTAGGACCGTGCAAATCTTTCGGTCGTTTTTTTACCCACTTCCCGTGATCCAATCGAGCTGACATTTTCCACACAGACTCGTTGTGCCAGACAATTATTGTTCGTGAAAAAAAATTCCCAAAATTTTACACTTTTTAGGCAAAAAAAAAATATTTTACATATATTCAAATAGAACGCATTCATGGCTTTGGCTGAACATCACAGTGCAAGAGCCCAGAGCGTAACCCCTCCACATGCCGTGGTGGAGTAGCGCAGTTAGCGCCCTCGCTTCCCATGCCAAAGGTCGAGGGATCGATCCCCGCGTCCTCCACAGGCGAATATATTTTTAAATCCTTTATATTAGGTTCGCTTGCTTGCTTAGGACCGTGCAAATCTTTCGCTCGTTTTTTAACCCACTTCCCGTGATCCAATCGAGCTGACATTTTCCACACAGACTCGTTGTGTGTGACAATTAATTTTCGTGAATTTTTTTTCCAAATTTTACACTGTTTAGGGAAAACTAATTAAATATTTAATTACCAATTGCTTAATACTGGCAGACAATCATCTGACCCATAGATTGCAGCCATCTCAAGCCAGAGGACGAGAGAACTCTAGCCACCACGCATATAAAGGATTTAGAGTGAAAAACTTTGTTTTTACGGGTTTACTTGTTGTAAAGTCACGTAGATCGAAAAATATATTTTTTTAAATCACGACGTTTCGATCGCAACACAAGCAAATAATATTTTTTTCACGTGAAAACGATTGCTTGTGTTGCGATCGAAAGTCGTGATTTTTTTGTATTATAATTTTTCTATCTACGTGACTTTATGCTACCAGCGCGGCCTGGCTCTGCCCTGGTCGCGCATCCCTTCTCGAACCCACGAGCAGGTTCCAGGGGCCTCGAGAGGGCCCTCCATGACCCTTGTCCCAGTTCCTCCGCCCTGCCGACACACCTGCGCACATGCACACCGGCGTGTGCACTGTCTTCTAGATTTGAAGTTTACGTGACTGCAAGGATTCATACTCTTTGTTTTTTTTTGGTAAAGTCACGTAGGTTAAACAAATTTAAATAAATTAACTCACGACGTTTTGGGCGCAACACAAGCGTCCTTCAGGTGGGAACAACTTAGCGAAAGCACACCGCTTCAGTGTGTCACTGCGTGCACTGTTTGTCCACCACAGTTGCCGCTGCTGGTCGCTAGCCGGCGCTATTACACTACATCAGTTTGATTTTATGACCGTTGAAATTACTCGGAGGAAACGACAGATGTGGTCCTGGTTCTAGTTTCTATCCTTGTGTGTGACGACACGATGTTCGGGAGCTACATGCCAAAGCCGAGGTCCGTTTGCCACACCGAGAGGGTTTCAGAAGAAAATCTGAATCTTTATTTATACTGGAGGAGTCCAATTAACTTTAAAGTTCTTCATTCACAGATGTCCAGTAGTTCGTGTAGTTCCGCTGTTGAAAAGTTGAAAGGAGATTGTAAATGTAGTGGATTTGCTCTCCAACACACCAGTGTGCTGTAGTAACGAATTTGCACGTTCTGTTTCCGTGACAAACCTTCCTAATTGGCTGTGTCGGGTGGTGGTGGGTTTAACGACACGTTTATATTTACCCGATCTAATCCCCCAAAAAAACTCTTATGGATGATATTGGTCGCGAAAGCCTACGTATTATACAGTGGTTTACTTTGGTGGTGCAGGTGGTAGTTCTGGTACTTGACGTTCGACTGCTGATTGTACTGCTGGTGGATGGATGGCTGCTGCTGCTCGTGCGTGAATGTGTGCTGCTGGTGAGTGGATGGGTGCTGCTGGTGAGTGGATGGGTGCTGCTGATGGTGATGATGGGTTTATGGGTGCTTGTGGTGGTGGGTGGATGGGTGCTGCTGGTGGTGGTGATGATGGGTGGATGGGTGCTTCTGGTGGTGGTGGGTGGATGGGTGCTGCTGCTGCTGGTAAGTGGATAGGTACTGCTGGTGGTGGTGAGTGGATGGGTGCTTCTGGGTGGTGGTGAGTGGATGGGTGCTGCTGCTGGTGTGTGGATGGGTACTGCTGGTGGTGGTGGGTGGATGGGTGCTGCTGCTGGTGGTAAGTGGATGGGTACTGCTGGTGGTGGTGAGTGGATGGGTGATGCTACTGGTGGTGTTGGGTGGATGGGTACTGCTGTTGCTGGTGAGTGGATGGGTGCTGCTAGGTGGTGATGGGTGGATGGGTGCTTCTGGTGGTGGTGAGTGGATGGGTGCTGTTGCTGCTGGTGGATGGGTGCTGCTGCTGGTGGTGGTGAGTGGATGGGTGCTGCTGGTGGTGATGGGTGGGTAGATGCTGCTGGTGGCGGGTGGATGGGTGCTAATAGCTGTGTAATGTGGAAGTAAGGGGATGGCGCATACATGAAGCTGCTGCCCTTTCTGGGTTCGTCAAGATGTGGCCATGGCAACTCTGCACAAAGGGCCGTTGTGCGGGGGCATCTCTGTGAATAATTCCCTCCCATTGTTCGACCCGCGGTGTCCGAGGCGCAAGTGCTTGCATAGCTCCGCACTGCCTCCCTTCCCCATCCCACATTCCCACTCCCACAGACACTGGCTCATGTCAGCCCATCAGCTCGCACGTGCCACCGACAAAGCTGCCACCAAAACTTCCCGGTTCCGCCGGGACAGCCCCAGTGGTTTCAGAAAGGCTGCCCCCTCCGTAGCCCAGTGTCCTCGCTGAAGTAGTTTTTTTTGTTAAAGTTCAAGATTTTGTCCCCGGTTTAAAATGTTCTGGCCATCATGGTTCGCGGACAAAGGGCGCATAGACCCGACCCATAGGCAGTGCCTGAGGCTGTGGTTCTTAACCTGGGGTGCGAGATGTGGCAAGATTTTTGTTCGAAGGTAAATCATCGAAACGCATTAATCACGGCAACGTAAATATAACTACTTTGTTTTTCTTCAAACCTATGCATTTATTC